TCGCTGAGCTCCAGGATGGGCTGCACCTTCAGCTGCACCGTCTCCCCGGACTGCCGGATCATCTCCACAATCTCATCCCGAGATTTGTTCTCCACGTTTCGTCCATTGATCTCCACCAGCCGGTCACCCGGTACCAACCCCAATGCCAAGTCTTTAGTGCCAGCTCCAGGTTCTGCAAAGTGCACGACGCGCCGGTACACCTGCCCGTCGGGCGCCCGGTCCAGCATGGTGGTGCGGCGTAAGGAGAAGCCAAAATCGCCGGTGTTGCGCCTCTGCAGCTCCAGCTGCCGTGGGGTGGGGGGCTGTGGGGGCACCAAGGCGGGCAGCCGCAGCTCAGCGGGGAACCTCTTGCTGACGAGCTCCGGCACCCTGGCATGCAGGGAGGTGGTGGGAGGGGTGCAGGGGTGTCCCGTGGGGATGCCTTGCTTGGTGAGCTGGGTCTCCAGCATGCGCACCTCCACCTGTGGGGAGGGGGCTGCTGAGTGCTCAGATGGGGTGGATGTCTCTGAGGTGCTCTCATCCCGGCTCTTCTGGGAGAAGGAGAAGCGTTTGACGATCATCTGGGAGTTCTGCTTGGCCAACGAGCCAAACTTGGCCGCCCGCTGCAGCACCGAGCCTTTGAAGTTGGCATCGTCCACCTTGAGATCATCACTGGAGCTGGCCGTGCTCAGGTGGCCCGAGTCCAAGATGACGCTGCCCCGGTTGCTGTCGGAGTCAATGTCCGTGAGATGCAGATCAGAGCCACTGGCCACCTTGATGGGGATGGGGTTGGAGATCTCCAGACGGGTCTTAGAGTCCCGCTTGGAGGCACGGTTGAGGTTGAAGAAGCCCCGGCGCATGCTCATCTCCTCCAGGCTCTTGAGCTCAGCTGCTGACATCCGCTCCTTCTTCTCCTTCTTTTCTTTCTTCTCCTTTCGGGCCCCATCCTTCTCTTTGTCCTTCTTCATCAAGTTGAACATGGTGGAGTTGGGCTCGGGGCACACTCACCCCCACGGCAGAGTGCTGGGTCAGAGCGCTGGTCACGACACGGCCGCCTGCCTGCAGAAGGACAGACAGGTAAGGGTGCCATCAGACAATGACATGGCCACCACCCATCCCATCAACCCTTGCTCCACCCCACTGGTCACCCCAGTTGCCACCCCCGGTCCCAGGCCATGTCCCAGTGTCCCCACCCTCCCTTGGGACAGCAGCTCTGAGAC